AGAGGGTAGTATATTGTGGTTCTCAGTTTCCAAAGTACAAGAAATAGGGGATTATCCATTAACACATGGTAATATGTTCATATTCTTTAAAAGAAGTAGTTACAGAATAGAAATCTTTTCCTCTAGTCATACATTTGTCATTTAGTGAAGTATTTATTAAGATAGAAATTTTTAACATTTTTTTTGCCATTAAAACACGAAAGTAACAGACTCTAAGTGCCTTTTCTTCTGTGCTTGCTTTTGTTAGGGGTTGGCCTACAGTGCGCGTTTGCTAATTTGTTCAACCCAAGAATTGGATAAGGGTTGTCAACTTCCAATTTCATGAGTGTTTGGTAATTCTTTTCATAAAATTTTCTATTATATAATGGTATTGTTGATAGTGGCAGAACCTGGTAGTAGGAAGTTGTCTTCCATGGGTTTTGTCCAATAAAATTTCCTAAAATGATGACAGGTTGCTCTGTCTACTCTCTGTATGTGACTAGTGAATAGGCGGAATATAGCTAGTTTGGTTGAGAAACAACATTTGATTCCACATTGGTGCTTTTGAGTCTGAACTAATTCATAGTTGACCTTCCAGTGGGTTTTCAGAGGCTGTAAATAGCATGAGGAAAAACTGCCTTTCTGCCATGGAGCTGCTGGTGGTTTTGAGTCTCCTGCCTTTCAGTTGGTAGTGCAACTCCTTGCCACTAGGCCACTAGAGCTTCAGTTAGCTAATTCATACTTAAATCATTATATAGAGAGGCTACTGTTGTCACTAGTGCAAATAGAATTTGGAATAGTAGAGTTCATGATCTCAATCAATTCAGGTATATATATACTTGGGGATGGCACTAACACTGGGTTCTCTGATCATGTTCAAGTATTTTTCAAATGGTCCTAAATTAAAGCTGATACTATTCTCTCAAAATTACATAGAGAAACCTGCTGGCATATTTTTAATTGTTAAAATGACATGTATTAGGTGGAAACCATAGATTATTAATAGCCTGGAAGGCATAGGACAGGTTGCATATTGAGTAATCATCCATTCAAAAGGAAGTGATAACCATTTTGAGAAAGGCAAATAAATCAGTAGAGTTAACAAAATATTGTGGTTTCATTTATACGTTTGTTTTTATCTCAGTCCCACTGATAGAAAATTCTTCCTCCTTTAATCTCCATCTCATTTCATCCAGTCTCTTCCGGGATCTCTTTCTTACACTGTTCTATTTGTTCTGTATCTTCAACTACGTCTTCTCTACATGTAAACACACTTTAGCCTTTCTCTTAAAAAAATACCCTTTCTTAATCCCATATCCCCCAATTGTGATGGTGTCTTTCTCCTTACTTACAACCCTCTTTTCCCCATTGTTTTATCATGGCAGCTTTATCCAACCATTGTTAATGGGGGGAAAAATTCATACCACTAAGTAGTTTCCAAACACGTCATTTTATTACAAGACATATCAGTAGGGTCATAATCACATTGTGCTCCATTACTCCACTCCTAAATAATTATTTATATATAGATCACTTCCCAAGCAGTCTGCTTGTATTACATTATGCATATAATAACTCTACTTCTTTGTATCTAGACTCTACAGAAAAAAGCCACACTAGTTTCACGTATTTCCCCCTCAATTTAGTATCACTTTACTTCTCCCCAAGGGTAAGATCATACTAAAACTTTAATCATTGAACAAATTATACCTTATAATTCAATAGATTGCCGAAAGGAAATTTTCAAGCTCTAGAACTACACTTCAAAAGTCCTCTACTTAAAAAAAAAATAAAAAATAAAATCACTGTACATTCCAAATAAATAATTCTAAATATCTGGCCCTTGAAAATGTTTCCAGTTTTGGAAATCATTATGCTTAAGATACATGTGTACTCAGTAAAACATATACTGGAAACAATTTGGACAATAGTGATGATCTAGCTTTTTCTTAATTCTATGGAAAGTAGTGTTATGCCTACCTTGCTCTTTAATGTTTGATTTAATAAATCATGTTACAAAGCATTAAAACTTCTCATTGATGGATACTTTTGTTTTGTATAAGCATGTCTATAAAGACACACCACTTAGCATTAGAATTTATGGTTTGCTTCCAGTACAAAACTATATTCTTGTATAAATACAATAAACTTGATAGAGATAAAAGAATTGTATTGTCCAGTTTTGGAGGTTTGTGTGTGTATGACAAGGGTCGTATCTTCTTACTTCACCTAAAGGAGACAGATGGTGTTGGTACATTATTTGAGGCTGAATTTATGAACAACTTCTGTAATCTACTGGGTAAGAGTTTTTCACATAAATTGATGACTCTAGAAACTACACCAAACAACCATAGAGGGGTTATTTATATTGAATACATAGATACAGCCAGAATATTTGTATTTACTAAAATTTACTATCACCAAGTTGTTTCCAAATAATAGCAACCTATCATTGGATTTCCAAGGTGGTAAAGCATGAGAGGAGGTTACTACCTGTACTCTCTCTTAGATCCAATGGTGCATTCAGTCAGAAAGGCTTGGCTTCTGGATTAGCCATGCAACTCATTAAAGACTACACCACAACTATTGGTATTTGTGGTAGGTGATTTCAATATGGACTGAGGATCAATATCAAGAAACAAAGATTCCCACTACTGGGCCAACTGGAAGCATCAGGATGGATAGTGAAGAGATTGAGATTGTTCACCACTTTAGTTTTTTTGGCTGCAAAGTCAACACTCTTGGCACCAGCAGCCAGGAAACTAAAAGACATATTGTGATGGGAAAGTCTGCTGTTAGGGACCTCTCCAAAGTTCTGAAGACCAGTGCTGTCACTCTGGACACTAAGGTGTGCCTGCTACAGGACATGGTCTTTGTAATCACTTGCTATGCATCAGAGAGTTGGACAATGACTAGGGAGGATAGAAGGAGAATTGATGCCTTTGCACTGTGGTGGTGGTGAAGAGTATTGACTATACCATGGACTGCTGAGAAAATGAACAGTTTCAACCTAGAGAGGGTTAAACCAGGCTGCTCCTTGGAGGCAAGGATTCTGAAGCTTCATCTGACATAATTTATACATGTTTCAAGGAGGGACCAGTCCTTGGAGAGGGATGTCATGTTTGGGAGGGTGGAGGGACGGTGCAGGAGGGGAAGCCCCTCTATGAGGTGGACTGATTCAGTGATTGGGTAATCAGGATGGGTGTATCAGAGACAGTGCGTCTGGCACAGGACAGAGCAGGTTTTAGGGCTGTTGTACATAGGGTCATAGCAACTCAATGGCACATAACAACAAATAATGATTTTTTTTAATCTAACATTGAAAGACTTCAGTTTTTCATTTAGTGAATTTCCTCTTATTGCATTGACACAATGAAAGCCCATAGTTTGTTTGTAAACTATAAAATATTCTCATATGGGATATTAAAATTTCCATTTGCCTATAATTAAGTAACTCATGAAAATTATTTGAAAATTAATTCACTTTGGGGAACAATGAAAGCATACAGTACAGTAAGAGTTATATATTTTAAAACATATATTTCCTTCTCTTTTAAATGTCTCCTAAATGTTGCCCAAACCATGCTGTTTGTTTGGGGTTTTTTTTACTTTTGTTTGGTGTGGTAGTTTGCTTTTTAACATTCCATTATGAAAGCGAAAGATTAAACCTAGCTATGTAAATGTATGCCTACCCTTTTCTTTTCTTTTACACAAAACTCTTTCAGTTTCTTTGGGTACAATAATTCTTACTTGACAAAAGTCTGTCCATATTATCTCACGTCAATTAGAAAATAAAGAAAAAGACATAATTAAATTGTAGAAAAGCCAACTGTAACTTCATCTTTGTAAGTATAGCATCTGTCCTTTAGTAAAATTTCATTGGTCTGTAAGTTGTTTGAAATATGAATGCTATGAATAATTATAATTCATACATTTATAAATATGAACTAATTTATGTTTAGAAATAAATATTAGTGGTTTCTATAATAATATATATAGTATAATTATAAATAATTAAATAACCGATCTTTATATGACACTATTCAAATCATTCAACTATAATCACCAGCCACAGTTTTTATCTACGATGGATATAATAAAAGGAGAACTGGAACATCTAGAAGAAATTAATATGTACGTTTGTGGGCACAGAAAAATCTTGAACAATTACCTTTCCATGTTGTTGGAAGAGAAGCTTGTTAATTACTGTCTCAGCATCACAGTTTATTTTCTACTACTTATTTACATTTGTATATGCTATAAATATGTGCTGTATATATTTTGTATATTTACAATATGTATTGTATATACATACACACACACACACACATTCTTGGGCTCATTCATGAACATGCAGCTCAATCTGCACAATATGATAAAAACAGGTTTGTTTCCTTTAAATGATAATCACTGACAACATTTCACTGTTGTGCAAAAATGCAAAAATATCATACAAGTTAATATTCTCTCTCTTAAAAAATCTCTTTTTTTAAGGTGTAGACTTTTCCGTAATTTACAAATAAATTATGAAATATAGTTCATTCACAAATTCAAGATAATTACAATGTTTTTACAACAAGGCATTGCTGAGGTTTTGAATTATGGCATTCTTAAAGCCATTGTCTTTCATAACAAAGACATCAATAAATTATTGTTATTGTTTGTATTTGCACTTTTAAGGAACTCATGAAATATTATTAAAAATCTAATTCTCATGCTATGCAAATAGAGTTTGCGCGGAAAATGAATCTTACATCTGTTTTATTTAATCCACTTCCCCCCCCCCCAACAATAGTCTTCTTAAGAATAATGAAGTCTATTGAAATGACTGTTCTAGAACATTTCTGGAGAGCTTTCACTTAATAAAAAGAGCTGAAGAGATAAATTATGTACAGCTTAGGAAGAATAAAAGATGATCAGGAAAGATAACAGAAAATGCAAAAATTTCTTTGTTTACTATTCCTTTGGTGTCTCCACGATGCATGAAATCCTAAAAAATGTTCAACTTTTTAAAATACTGACTACACTCTTCCATTATATATCAGTTGTGGTCCTCCATTGCTCATGTTGTCTGTCACTTCCTGTTAGGGAAAGAACATAGAGTAATTTAAATTAGCTTTCAGAGAAAAACAATGATTTGGCTCATGGGTTTGTAAAATAGAAATATCAAGTCATTTTGAAACCTTTCTTAGGATTTGGGCAGAGACAAAGATTTATATTGTTACATTTGAAGACGTGAAATTTCACTACAGCTGGGACCACATGAAAATGCCAAGGTGACAATCTGTAAGACAAAAATTTCTATCTATAAAATCAGTTCGATCTGCTGAGAGGAAAGCAATCTCTCCTACAACCCTAAGTTTCAACTTTAATTCCTCAACACTACTCTGAAAAGCCTCACCTAGAAAGAAGAAAATGGTTAAGTACTGGAGTGTTCCAACACATATGCTCCTCTGCTGAGCATATCAACGAAGCGCCAATCAGCCGTTACCTTTTCTATTTTTATTCACTTACTCTATAGGAAAATATGTGTGGTCTTTTCCCCCTTTTTTTCAGTTAAGAACAGAAAAAGACACACAAGTTGGCTATTGGTAATTTGTAACTAGATCATTAATAAATCACAGTGGAAAAGATTATTTTTCATGACACCATTATATA